TCTCTCTCTCTCTCTCTCTCTCTCTCTCTCTCTCTCTCTCTCTCTCTGTCTCTCTCTCTGTCTCTCTCTCTGTCTCTCGTGTGTGTGTGTGTGTGTGTGTGTGTGTGTGTGTGTGTGTGTGTAGAAAGAATAGCTTGTATATTGTATGGATGCATCACTTGTCAATGAAAAAGCCTATGGCCTATGGCTTAGCCAGGAGAAAAAAGATGGGGGACATCTGGAAGGGAGAGAGGATTCTGGGAGAGAGCCAGGTGAGAAGATCCACCCAGGAAGATGTAAGGAGATGAACACATGGTACCTAAGCACAGTTAACCAGCCACATGGCAGAATGGAGGTTAAAATAATTGAGTTATCTAAGTTACGGTCTAGTGAGAGAAGAATCTGGCTATATGGCCAAGATATTTGTAAACATATTTTGAGTCTGAGTTTTATTTCTGGAAGCAGAGTGGAGGGAGGCAGAACCTGGCCTAACTTTTGTGTGCATGTGCGTGTGTGTGTGTGCGTGTGTGTGTGCGTGTGCGTGTGTGTGTGCGTGTGTGTGTGTGTGTGTGTGTGTGTGTGTACAAAAGCCAGAGAATGATGATTTGGGCACTGTCCACTTTTTATTTTAAAGATGGTTTCTCATTGGTCTGAAACTCATCAAGTAAGTGATGCTGGCTGACCAGAGAGTCCCAGGCATTCACCTGTCTCTCCCTCCCCAGCACTTAGAATATAAGCATCTGCTACTATGCCTCAGTTGCTTTCACATAGGCCCTGGGGCTCAAATTCAGGTTCTCACGTTTGCAAGGCAGATATTTTACTGCCTAAGCTTTGTCTCCAACCAACAAATCTCTTACAGTCTTCTGAAATGTACACTGTTTTTTCTGGTCAACTGTCCAAGATGCCCTGTTAATATAAATGGTTCTTGAGACTCCACCAACTTTCCCTACGTGTGTGTGTGTGTGTGTGTGTGTGTGTGTATGTTTTCTTTCCCACCCTGTCTTGTCTAGCCCCCTTTGTTGTATCTGGTTTCACACGTGTCAGTTCCCTGGCTCATAAGGTTTATGTGAAATATAAGGTCATGAACATGTTTTCTAATGAAGTCACTTCTAACTGGAATTAGGCACAAGACAGAAAACAGTACACAAATTAAAAGACTTTAAAGAACCCAGGAGGTCTCCCTGTTTCTCTTTTATGTACTTAGTACATCTTGAGCTCAGAATTTCTCTGTGGCTGCTTTTATAAACTGATGTAATTTCTCTGACAGACTACATCCCAGAGTGATAAACTGGTAAAAGGTTAAAAAATGTAAACTAAGGATTTATTTGTGCTGAGATTTTCCCCCCACTTTTCTTTCTTCAGCAAAACACTTACAGACCCTTCTTTTGACAACTCCATCAGTCCATCTGCCAGAGCCTGTGCAATGCCTTGGTTATTTAAGATGCTGTCCATACCCAGAGTGTCAAACATGAATTGCCCTGAAATGTAAAGCACACAGACAGTATGTACTCTATGTAAGACTATGTGTGAGAGTAAAGAGCAGTCATCACAGTTACCTTTTAGTTGACAATGATACAAGGAATGGGCCCAGGTTTTTATTATTGCCACAAGAAGACCTACTATAAAATGGAAAATGAGCCAAACCAATTTCAACTCGCTAAAACTGATGTTTAATGAAATCTAAGAATCAGACAATCATAAAAGAAGCCATGAAAGGAGATGTCTGAGTAAAATACAGGATCCAATCAGATATCCTCCACACCTCCTCTCCTTTGTGTTGAAAATGTAAATATTTTAAATTCAGAGAACGTAGCTTACATACTGAGACATTTTTCATTTTTTTAATATTTAAATATTTACACACATTTACTGGAAAACAAATTGACTTCTCATTGCCAATACACTGTCATAAAAATACTCATTGCCAATACACTGTCATAAAAACATTTGCTTTTCCATTTAATACTTAACATCTATGAAAGAAAAAAAGAGAAATTATTTCTTCTTGTTTGCATGTTCTTAATACAGCTATACTGGAAAACAACTTTCCCATTGACCTCTCGTTGTCAACACACCACCATAGAAAACATCCACGGCTCTATTTCTCTATCTTTTCCTTAGTATCTATGAAAAAAGAGAAAGGATTTCTCCTTGTTTACATTTTCGTAACTACTAAAGAGTATTGGTTTAGTGTTTCCTAAATCAGATGGTTCAGGTAGTAGAGGAAAATACAGGAGAAGATCTCTACAAAAGAAGCATTTGTGAAGCAAGATACAAGACATGTACTGATGGACAAAATATCTGCGTGGGCACATGTGCTGCTCTGCACAGCCAGGGAAGGGAGGATGCACAGGTCTGCAGCATTGGGATACTACTATGTCTTAGTCAAATGGAGCATGTATAAAATATTAAGAGATCACTATAGAGGAAGGCGGACATATTTACTCAGATGGTGAAAGTGTTTTGTTTTAAAGAATAAACTGGTTTAGTTTGTGATTGACTGTTAAGAGGGTGTATCATTCCACAAAGATTATTATGGTAATTTTATCAAGGCAATGGAGTAGGAATGGAAAATTGATTCAGTGATGTCCAACAGGTTCAGTAAAAGACCATGGAACCTAGCACCAAGCTGTGTATTTTATTTTATTGTTTAAGAAGAAAATTGTAATATACACCTTATTTGCATCTTTGGAGGGAACCCAAATGGGCTTATCCACCTGGAAGACATCTGGGTAAATTATGACAGATGATAAATGAACTGTAGAACAAACTGTGGAATGGACACTATAAGAGGGACTCAACGGCCGGAACAAGATATAGTCAGTTCTCTGAGTAAAAACCAAGCTCTGCTCAGAGCAGGTGGGCTCCATAGGAGTCAGTAAGATGGTGAAATGTGATAATAAGAGCCAGCCCCCACGTTCTGAACATGACTATTGTTGTTCTTGAATATTTGAAAACTAAAGACGATGCTTGGCCAAGTATCCGTTACAACTGGGTTTTTCTTATTCTCAATCTTGTATTTGCTCAGGTAAGAAGTAAGCCCTGGCCTGATCTGGAACAGAAGTGTCAGAGACCTTACCTATCATGCGGCCACTGATGCTCTCCTGCAAGTTCTTGAAGATCGGATTCAACTTTTTCCTCACTGACTTCAAGGTGTCTTCCAGGAATTCTGTGAAGCTGGACCATGCCTGCAGCTTGGACTCGTTGAAGTAGTTAGAAGGGGGAGTCCTATCCCGATGTGGCCCCAGCCAGTCACTGAGAACTGATGGGAGTTTGAATTTTATTGAAGACTCAGTTCATACTCTGTGCATATGTGTGAATGTGTGTGTGTGTGTGTGTCTGTGTGTACGCACACACATGTGTGTATGTATGTGTACAGGTGTTCTACATATGTATGTGTGTGCACATGTGTGCACTTACATGTAGAGCCCAGAGATCAACTTCAGGCATTGTTTCTCAGATACTGTCTACCCTATTATTTGAGACAAGTCCTCTCATTGACCTTGAGCTTGAGCTGAAGCAGGAGATTTCTACTTCTTGTTTAAAGTAAAACCAACTCAGCTATCTTTATACTGAGCATAGTGTCCTTTCTCAGAATAAGATAAGCAGTCACAGCCTGTTTCCAATGGTAAACAAAGAAACTTAGAAAGGACACAGTGAATGCCCCTCTGTCCACGGCAGATAAGGTTGACAGCTTCTACTTGAAATTAGTAAGGAAATCACCATCTGGCGCTTTGGGAAAATGTGTGGATGGAAGTAAGAAAGAATGTATCACTGTGTTCTAAAGGTGAGAGTTCTTCTGACTCAGCACTTCCCACACCGCTGATGTGAATTTAAGGTCAAGCCACCTCTCTCTGTCTCTCTCTGTCTCTGTCTGTCTCTGTCTCTCTGTCTCTCTCTCTCTCTCTCTGTCTCTGTCTCTGTCTCTGTCTCTGTCTGTCTCTCTCTCTCTCTCTCTCTCAAACTAGGGGCAACTCAAAATAGTCAACATGGCTAGAGGGGATATATAAGAACATTAATCAGCTTGCAAAGCAATTACACCATGAAGAAGTGACTCATTTAGTGTATAGTCTAATTTTTTTTTTTGTCTGAATGGATGGTCAGAGCTACTCTGTTTCTTCTGAAGCATGTGCAAAACGTTTAATGTGCTTCTTTAGAGGGAGACTACTAAGAAACCAAAAGGGAAAGGGACTGGAGCAGAAAAGGAAGAGCAGCAGCCCCTTAGGGGGATCAACGGGGCCCCAGCCTTGTTGCATGAGTGAGGCCATTCTCTCCACAGAGCCACAGACATTGCCATTTGGTGATGCCCTGTGAACTACAGTGACCTAGCCATGGCTGCTTCAGAACTGTGTGAAGCATGAAGCCAATGTGCTTTCTCTTCCATCTACATAGAATCATTTCCCTTACAAGTGACATAGTCATGACCGCTTCTCCCAGTCTCAAAAGGCCTCCGGAGACCAAAGAATCAGTGCTCATACCATTCCCGAGGTAGTCCAAACCCTGTTTGATATGAAGAGAAGAGGTTTAAAGGAGAAAGTGTTGAGTGACGTTGTAGGATAGCCATGTAGTTCTCTGTCAGTCAGCTAGTGGTCCATTTTTACCCAGTATTAGGAGGCTTATTGTGTCAGTGAAAGTATACATATGCCAGCATACTTTCCCTTTCGATCCATTTCCCTTCCTCATCCTTGTGAGATCTAAGCAAAACTTATCTCCATCTCCCTAGAGCTACAATTCACGCTCCAGAGTAAAACCAAATCAATTCTTAAAAAAAACAAAAAACAAAAATCGAAAAACAAAAACAACCTCCTCCCCCCCAAAAAAACTAGGAAAACCAAATCAATTCCTTAAAAAAAAAAAACTAGGAAAATACGTCCTTTCTCTGGATCAGCAACTGGACAATTTTGCTGAACTCTTTAAAGAGGGTTTTAGTAAATGACAGTTTGAAACAAAATATTTGCAGAAAAAAAAATCCTTATCTGAATGAATGGCTCTGTGCCATGTCTGAAGAAGGGAGAACCACACCTTCAGACAATTGCTATAGGCAGATCAGGATAGATGTACATCAGCAGTGATGTACAGCTGCTAGTTACTGATGTAGAGAAATGTGACAAGAATATGATTTCTTAGTACTTGTCCTTCAGTGACGCTGATGTGACTATGTTACTAGACACACCAGCCAGCTCTCATAGACACTTACTGTGTTGGTAAGAACCAGTTGCAATTCCAGTTGGGGCAGAGAACAACGTGCCAGTTAGTTGGGACAGCTGAGAAAGAACTTCTATACCTGCTTCTGTACAGCCAAGAACATTTGTATTAGTTTATTAATGAATTTCTCTTGAAGCAGTCAAATATTACTTACAAGCATGAAAGAGCTTGCCAAGAAAGACCACAGGCAACTGTCATCTTCAATTCAAATCCTTCAATCAACAGCCCCAAATGTCTCACCTTTATCTCTACAAACAGAGGTCCAAACACTTAATTTCTGAAAACAACACAATAAGATGTGGAAAGAGGGTGTGCAACTAGAAAAATCTGTTTATCATCAAGTTTGGAATATTGAAGCTAAAGACAGAAAAACCACACAAGAGTTTCCTAAAGTAATCTGAGTAAAAGGAAAGTTGTGGTTGAAAGTAGACAGACTTAAAACAGATAAACACAAGATAGAACAAAATGGCCAAAATTTAATGTGGCATTAATTACTGCTCTTCTACTGAGTGTGTTGCTGCATGCTTTTAATCTCAGCACTTGGGTGGTGGAGACAGATGGATCTCTGAGTTTGAGGCAAGTTCCAGGACAGCTAGGGCTACACAGAGAAGTCCTGTCTTAAGATATTTTTCCTCCCCTTCTTCAGTAACACAGAATGAAATATAGAGTGGATTATTGGAGTCAGTAAATATAGATTGAATAACTTAAGAAGAAATGTATGTAATGAATGGGGTATTTTAATTCTTGCTTCTTGAAACAAGATGGTGGAAGCTGACAGACCTTATGCCTAGTATTTTCACTGATAGTGAAGTCAGAGAGTCCACAGTGAACTTAAATCCATGTAATCAACTAATGGCAGTAAACCTGTATGTAAAATTCATGGAGTAAATAACAGGCTTCCTTATGAAGAATGGTGTTGGGAAAATACATACCTATATGCAAAATAAATTAGATCTCAACCTATGCCTCATCATCTGTTAGAAATAAATCAAATGGGCCACAGACCTACATGCCAAATGTAAACATAAACTCCTATGAAGTGCAGTAGAAAATCTTTGTAATCTTTGAGCAAGGAATTTAAAAATATGGGGACTGGAGGAATGGCTCAGAGGCTAAGAGAACTTGCTTCACTTCCACTGGACTCAGGTTTGGTTCCCAGCACCCACATGATCGCTTACAACTGATGCAACTTCAGCTATGGAGAATCTGACACCCCTCTGGCCTCCATGACAACATATCCATGTGGTACAGATATACATGTGACAGAACACATAGGCATAAAATGATTTTTAAAAAATATTTTAAATAATTAAATAATATGATACTAGAAGCATAAGATAAAAGTAAAGATAACAAATTTGATTTCATCAAAATTAAGAAGTTCTACTCTTCAGAATAAACCATTCAGAGAAGGAAAACAAGAGTCACCAACTGGAAAAACAATTTACTTTTCAAAATGTGCAAGATACTCAAACAGACACTGAGACAGATGTGTAAATGGCAGATGAGGACATGAAAAGATGCCCAGCATCATGAATGGGTAGGAAACTGCAAATTAGAACCATTATGAGATGTTTCTGTATCCACCTGAATAGCTACAACCAAAACAAGCACCACAGTGTGGACAACTCGAGTTTGCGGACATATTCTTTAAGAAACATTAAAATGTACAACCACTTTGAAAAACAGGCTACCTGCCTTTCATGTACACTGCTGGGCTCTTGTACACCTTAGAGAAGTGTACATGTTCAGACATATGTTCACATATGAAATACATTGCATGTATAAACAAATTATAGTATACTGTGTAATGGTATCTCATGCAATAATTATAGTTGTAAAAAGGAATGAGCCATTGATTCATACATTAAATGGGTTTGTTTGTGACTGTACCTCAGAAACACACAAAATACCACCACATGGAGGTACGTTTCCTGCGTTTCTAGAGTTTTGACACTAACCTGATGCTCCAAGTGGCACAAATAAGTCCACATGTCCCCCTTCTTCTTTGGTGGCCACAGAGCTTCCTAATTTCTCCCAGAAGTCTCTCACTTCAGGCCATAGTACATTTTTAATACAAATTTTATAGCCTAAGGGGAAAATTAAAATGTCAATATTGGTTTATTATAGCATAATAAACAATACTTTTAGCTGTTTGTGAAAATGGGATCACAGATTCAAAACCCAGTATTTACCCATAAAACCAAGATCTCCAGTACACCTACACTTCATGGAGCATGGTGTTAAGGCCACAGAAGGTGCCACTGAAGAGCCCTGTGACCACTGGCTCCTTCACACTCTGGAATAATAAGATGTTATACAATTACATTTTGAAGATTGGTTTCTGCTTCCACTGTATGCCATTGTGAGTCACTGGGCTCAAGAAGAGTGTAAAGTGTATGGCCGATCAAGTCCTAGCATCTTGCAACAATTTTCCAAGCAGAAAAGGTTCCCACAGTCATCAATGTAAAACTATCAGAGCAAGCAAGGCTCCCAGAGTTAGCAACCACCTCAAATCTCCTTACTCCCAGTTCCTCAGGATTGATTCATGACTCGTTGTGCCATTTTGTAAGTGCCCTGGAAACTGGACCATCTGATTTATTTCCTCTTCCCTCATCCCACATGGATGGAAGGTTTACAAACAATAAAGCAGAATTTATCAAAGTGAACACCAAGTCATCTATCTTGATGTTCATTGCTATTGCAATTACTGTACTTTCATAAAATTTAAAATTTTTGTGCATCAAAAAAGAGAGTATAAAGGACACTTATTGGCGATGGTTTAAATAAGAATGGCTTCCATAGGCTTATATATTTGAATGCTTACTCATCAGGGAGCAACACTATTTTAAAGGATTAGAAGGATTAGGAGCTGTGGCCTAGTTGGAATAGGTGTGGACTTGCTGGAAGAAGTATGTTGCTGAGGGTAGGCTTTGAGGTTTCAAAAAGCCCATGCCAGATCCACTCTCTCCCTGCTTATAGGACAGGATGAAGCTATCAGCCACTTCTCCAGCACCATATCTTGCCTGCTCCCTGCCATACTCCCTACCAGATGACAATGGACTCAACCTCTGAAACCATAAGCAAGGTCTTAATTAAAGGCTTTTTCTTTTACAAGAGTTGCCTTTGTCATGGTATCTCTTCACAGTAATAGAACAGTGACTAAGACACTATAAAAGTGGAGAAGATGCTTGCAAATCACATATCCGATAAGGAGTTAATAACCTTAACATTCAAAGAATGTCTATAGCTCAATGTCCATACAAAAATCAACCCACTTTTCAATAGGCAAAGGGTTTGTGTTCATAAAGAATATGCAAATGGCCAGCAAGCACATGACAGATGTTAAGCATCTCTCATAAGCAGAAGTATGCAAATCAAAACACAGTGAGACTGGAAATTGTATGAACCAACCAACCAAACAAGAAACCTGAAAACCTGTAACAAATAAATGGCACAGAGAACTTTGTATACTTGCACCATTGATAAACAGTTATTTAAAAAAAAAAACAGTATAGGGGCTTTCAAATTTTTAAGGAAACCCACAATATCATACTTAGGAGTGTATTTCCATATATGTAAAAGCAAGTGCAAAAGAGGTTTGTTGATAGTCACTATAGGCAAGAATTAGAAGCAATCTGAATGACACCCAGTAGATAGAGTTACAAACATACTGTCTTAGTCAGGGTTTGTATTCCTGCATACAACATCATGACCAAGAAGCAAGTTGGAAGGAAATGGTTTATTCAGCTTACACTTCCACATTGCTGTTCATCACCAAAGGAAGTCAGGACTGGAACAGGTCAGGAAGCAGGAGCTGATGCAGAGGCCCTGGACGGATGTTACTTACTGGCTTGCTTCCTCTAGCTTGCTCAGCCTGCTTTCTTATAGAACCCAGGACCACCAGCCCAGAGATGGCACCACCCACAATGGGCTGGGCCTTCCCCCCTTAATCACTAATTAAGAAAATGCCTTACAGCTGGATCTTATGGAGGCATTTCCTCACGGGAGGCTTCTTTCTCTGTGAAAACTCCAGCTTGTGTCAAGTTGACCCACAAAACTGGCCAATATACATATTGTAGCACATACATAGAGTGGATAAGTATTTGGCCTTAAAAGAGAAATAACCAATTGGTATAGTGTATGAACCGGGTATAAGTGGGTGTATGAAGAGGGTATAAATAAAAAATGCCAGTCACAAAAAGGCGAAGCAAATGACTCCATTTATGCATTTAAAAGATCCAATTGTTATCAGAGGGCAGAAATCAGAAGGCAGATATCAGAGGGCAGATATCAGAGGGGAGAATTTTGTAAGATGGAAAAGTTTTACAGGAATGTGAATAAAGTGTACGCTTCAAAGGATCATGATAGTAACCGTTCTTCTGTGATCTTAGTCACTATACTTAAGATTATCATCAAAAGTTGCTTCACTTTCTTCATGAAGACAAAATGAACCCTTCCTACCGATTCAGAACTTAGAAGCACTGTGAAGGTCACACTTGTGGATAAGTGCTGCAGACACTCATAGCTGTGTGACTGTTCTCCTCCAATCCACAAACCAACCTTGCAGTAAGTCGATTTCTCTGCTGTTTCCACTGCTGAATATTCCCAGGCTCTGTGCCTTCCGCCCTTGTAGAGCTTTGTCTGTGAGCTGAAGCAGACCCTCCAACGTTACTCCACTGTGGTCATACAGCACAGCCTCGACATCTGGCCTGATGCTCTCTCTCACCATCTAGAAGTGAAACAGCAGCAGTAGGCGCATGTGAGCCTTAGAATTGATTGATATTCGGTATGCTACCCTTGCTAAATAATTTTCAGAAATTACAGAAGGAAGGAACTAAACCTCTCCCACCCATTTCTTTATTTTTCTCTAATTATCAGAAAAAGTTGAAGTTCATTTGCAACTCTGTCATGGAAACAGTAGTTCTAATGAGTTACATTACTTTTTCCCAAATCTCTTTATCTTTGTACACATGAAACAGATGTATATACAACTTATTAAAAAGAATAAATTAATTAATACCATTTTGCAGTGGCCTTATTAAGTAGATTTAAATATCTTATACATATATATCATTTAAATATATGACTTCACTTTATTTTACTAATTTTTGTATTTTGAGACAGAGTCTCACTATATAGTCCTAGCTACTTGATACTCCTATACGGTCCAGGTTGGCCTCAACCTCTATCCTCCTCCTTTAGCCTCCTAAGTGCTTGGGTTACAGGCAAACGCTACCATACATAGCTATGATTACATTTTATGAAGACCATTTTTTTTTTTCGAGACAGGGTTTCTCTGTATAGCCCGGTCTGTCCTGGAACTCACTCTGTAGACCAGGCTAGCCTCAAACTCAGAAATCCACCTGCCTCTGCCTCCCAAGTGCTGGGACTAAAGGCGAGCGCCACCACCGCCTAGCTGAAGAGCATACTTTAATAAAATGGCATCATTTTAAAATAGAACATAATGTAGTACGTCTAACCCACTTTTGAAAACTATTGGTCAAATAATATTATTAAAGTTCTTGGGAATTTTGGAAGTGCTTTAAATATTTTTAACCATCGTGTTTGTTGCTGTTGTTGCTTTTGTTTTTTAAGTGCAAGAAATTGAGTCCAGTGGGTGTGGTTTGACACCAACTGCACACACAGCAATTTGGACCGCTCATGGGTTTTCAAAGTAAGTTTGATTACTTTTATCCTTATTGCTCCCAATTTCAAAAACTGTATGGGATCTGTAAGTGTTCACTTGATCAGATATTTTTCCTTTCAAGAGATGAATCATTTTCACATACATGGCAGCCAACAGTTTTCATTAATGTAGACGTAACTCAGTCAAGGGTGGCCCCCTCGCACAGTGGTACCTCATATGCAGGAATCTTCGATGATATCAGGATGACATGTAGCGGCAAAGCACAGGAAGAACTGTCATCAGTTCTACCAACCCCGGGATAATTTTTCTTTAATAATAAAGGGTAGGAGTGACTTCCAGAGATATTGCTTCTGTAAGGGCACAAAAGGATGCATGAAATCCTAATGTTCTGCTAACGTGACTTTTGATAGATGCCAATATTCTCTGAACATCTCTGAACAGCAGAAGCCCACTGTCCCTGAGTGCTTAGACTCTCCTAGCGGTCTGAAGAAGAGCAAAGAGAAAGAGGTCCAGGATAGGGTTGAGCAAACTCTGCCCAATTGGTCTCTGTGCTTCCACATGAGAGATGCAGAAGAAGCTTCTTGACACTTACTTAGCTTTTATTGGGCACTTAAAATAAATACTGTGGTATGCCTAAGGGCTCAAAACTATATTTAAAGGGGGTAGCCACACAATTCCTAACTCACTTCTAGCTCTTGGGGGTTCCTGAGTAATGTCTTCATTCTCTCCTTGGCCTCATTCCCATACTACTGAGGATGAGAGACACCCTATGCTTTTTGAAGTTCTTTATGTGCCTTCCACAAGTGAAATATAGTGCCACACTCACAAATATTTAGACACAGATCTGTGTGTGGTTTTGTCAGTGGTGACACTGAAGGAGTGTTAGAACGTGAAGATTTAGGTCCCAGTGTTTATATTATGACAGGTGAGTTATGTCACCTGTCTAGACTTTAGTGTCTTCGTCTGAAAGGCAACTGTAGACTTCAAAGTGAAAAACAAAACAATCCTTTCCCCCTTGGTTTGTGAGCAGCTGTAGAAGCTGTGGATGTTTCAAATATCAGCTAGGAGAGGTGAGTAGAGTAAGAACTGAATCTTGGCACTGTAGTCAAATATTATGCCTTGGGTCATTGCAAAGAGCCAGACTATTGTGTTTGGATTTACAGGTATAAATGGGAGTTAATAATACTCTGTAAGGGTGCTGCTATAATTTGGGTCTGTAGTTTTCCTTGGGTATTGAACACTCAGTCACCAGTCCATGGTGCTACTAGGATGTGGAGGGACATTTAGGAGGGGGGCCTAGTGGAAGAAAGTGGGTGTGCTCTTAAAAGGAAGATGTGGGGGCCTAGCCACTTCAGCTTTTCCTCTTCAGTTCTATTGATCTGATGCTCTCTTCTAATGTGTCTGAAGACAGCTACAGTGTACTCACATACATAAAATAAATAAATAAATCTTAAAAACATCTTTTAAACATTACATATTTTCCTCTTCAGAACACACTTAAAGATTGCTATTCTTGAACATTAAATCATACCAAAATCATTAATTCGTTCTCTGATATTTCATAGAATATGAGTCATACAATTACTGAAGATCCCTACGTTGGCTACATAATTCTATAATGAGTTCTTGGTGACACAGGAAGGCCTGAGCCCCTGATGGGTAGAAGTTTGCTCACCGCTTGGGCAAAGCATCTAAAGATGCCTGAAGAAAATGTCTCTCCAAGGCTTCATAGAACCCTGTCCCGTCTCTCCATAGCCAAGGACTACCGGGCAGGCTTGTACATTTTAACAACCTAGAGCATCGTGTTCCACTCAGCCAAGGGGGTCGAGCTTTGAATAACTCCTCTGAAAAATGAACAGCAACAGGCTTCCTGTTTACTTCACATGAGCTGACATAGATCAAGTCATCAAAGAGAAAGCTAGCCGGGGCAATGTTCCAAATGAAAACAATTATAGCCACTTGTATACACTCTGATAGGATTTCTTATTCGATATCTTTACAGATAATCAGCCCATAGGTTCCCATCCCTCTCTGTCCTTGGCTGGAGGTAATTTCCCTGGGGAGTTCAATCTTCCCAGGGAAGAGTCAGAGAGAAGAGGCTGAGCCCAAGACAGTTGACCGCATAGTTTAAGAACATGCACACATTAAAGGTTTTCCTGAACACATGCCCTCATCCCTGCCTTCTTCCGGCTGTTTTCAAAGAAATTGCTCTCAGCCTCATGCTTATCCTCCTTCACTGGCCCCTATTCCTCAGTCCTGAATTTACTTCTTGTTTCTTGGCTGTGTTTGCACTTCCTGCCCTTTTGATGTGTGCATGGTCGGGGGGAGAGGGTTCAGAGTGTGTGCACAGATGTAGGGGTCTGAGGACACAATTGGAAGCTAGAGGTTGGTTGATTCAGCAGATTCAGCACACTGGCTGGCCAAGAAGCTCCCAGGATCCTCCTGTCTCTTGCTCCCTAGAACTGGGATTACCATGTACATGTGCCCTACCTGATTTTTTTTTCCCCACTGTGTGAGTATTGGCAATTTTAACTCAGGTCTTCAGGTTAATATGATAAGTATGTCAGCAACTGAGCCATTTCACAAGATTCCCTTCCTCGTCTATGCTCTTACAAACTTGAGAGGAAGCAGACAGCTGTGGAGGCAAATGTTCAACCTTAGACATCTCATCTGAAATCTTTTTTCTTCTATTACCAATTAACTGAAAATACATAATAAAAGGAGAAAGAAAAGCTGGCCTTGAACATAGGCTGATGAGGATCCCAGCATGCTCTCCTATATAGACATCTGTGTGTAAATCCATTTGTTCAGTGTCTGGATATAAAAAGCTTTAAATCAAATGCTACTTACTCTTGGAGAATGCAATTTTCTCCCAAACTATTTTTCTCAGGCACCTTTCTCTTTGCCTCTCCTGGAGCTCCTCATCCTCTGTTTTGGGTTCATTCAGTGTTCCATAAACAGCAGCAGCTTCCCTGGGTGTTAGCCAGTCCAAGCTGGACACACAAGCAATGTAGTGCTGCTTCCAAGCTCCGTATTCATTCTGTGTTGGACTATAGGGCAGAAACCACCCAAACTTAGTGCATTTCGGCATCCACAAGCAATCCTTCAGGAAAGAACCAAAGAAAGCTGAGTTTCTAAGAAACAGTTTTCTAACAGGAATAGTTTCAGGAACACACATATTATTTTTTGTTACACTGACATTTCTAGTATTGCTGACTTAATGTCTAAACTTCAGTCTGAAAAAAATTATAAAATATATCTTATTCCATATGAAGAATGTTCTTTGTGAATACATATTACATTCTATGTAAATTTATATGTATACGTGCATATGCCATCTTGAGACACTTATCTAGCATCCCTATAGAATTCTGCTACTTTAGCTTATGAGAATTCAGGTATAATAGTTTGCTTCAGACCAACCCTCCCCCACAGAAGAATTTTTATTGAATTCATATGATATTGTCAAATTGCAGCAATTTTTGAAATATTAAAAATAGTGAATTTCACCAGGCTGTGGTGGCGCATGCTTTTAATCCCAGCGCTTGGGAGACAGAGGCAGGCATTTCTGAATTCAAGGCCAGCCTGGTCTATAGAGTGAGTTCCAGAACAGCCAGGGCTATGCAGAGAAACCCTGTCTCAAAAACAAAACAAAACAAAACAAAAACAAAAACAAAAAAAACAACAAAAATAGTGAATTTCATGTGGTTCACTGAGATCACAATTAAGACAAACTATAAAAACCAATTAAGTTAGGCACAGTAGTGTGAACTCACACACCTGTAGTCCCCAATCGTGGGTGTGTGGGTTAGGAGGTACATTGTGAGCCCAGGAGTTCTAGGGCAGACTGGGAAACATAGCAAGATCATAAAACACAGACAGACTGGGGGGGGGGGGAGTATGAGTACATGCAAGCATGTACCAGTGGGTTCCAGAGGACAACTTTGAGAGTTGGCCTTTGCCGTCCACCTTGTTTGAAACAAGGCCTTTCTTGTTCACCACAGCATATACCAGGCTGTTTGGTCCATGAGTGTCCAGGGGTTCTCTTGTCCCCATCTTGCTTGAGGGCAGGGCACAGGAACTATTGATGTTGCTACCATGCTCAGCTTTCCATAGGCTCTGGTTCAAACACAGGTACTCATTTGTTCAGCAAGCACCTTTACCCACTGAGCCAACTTCTTCCAAGTCTTCCATTCTGTCCCCCAAGGGGCTTTTAACTATGTTTCGGGCTCCCTCCTCTATTATTTCATGGAAGAGAGCCACCCTGACTGACCCATTACAAATTATTTTGTGTTCCATTACTAGGAAGCGATGAAAACAGAGAGGAAGAAACCTGTTCCGATAGAAACTTCCAGGGCCAGCTGACTTGAGCAGCTGCACACAAGTCCTTCGGATTCAGAAAGGAAAAGATATAAAGAGAAATGCAGCGTGGTAACACTGTCGAGAAATCCACTCTGGCCACCTGCTTCCTTTCTGAAAACCAGTCTTGGACGAACCTACAAAGAAAGACACAGAAACTTAGTTCTTAATACTGTCATCTAAAGGTGACTAATGATCCTGTAAAGATACTGGTCATTGTTATTTTCTAATGTTCTACTATAAAGTAATTAAATCAGGGCTTGAGACATTATAGTGTGCCTCCCTAACCTAAGTAAGGTCCTGGGTTAGGTCGTCAGCTTTGCATATACACATACACACACACACACACACACATACACATGTATATGTATACATCATATACATATATACTACATATACATCATATACATTTATATTATGTGTGTGTTTTGTCTGCATATGTATCTGTACATTCATGCATGTGCCTGAAGAGGCTAGAAGAGGACATCAAAGCCCTAATGTGGGTGCCAGGAATCAAACCCAGGTCCTCTGGAAAGTTAGCCAGTGCTCTTAACCTCCAAGCTATCTCTCTACCAGCAGTTCTCAACCTGTGAGATATGACTCTTCTGGCAAAGCCCTATCTCTAAAAATATTTACATTAGCAGAATTACAACTATGAAGTATCGACAAATATAACTTTCTTGTTGGGGGTCGCCATAACATGAGGAACTCTTCTAATGGGTCACGGCATTAGGAAGGTTGAGAAGCACTGCAAGTGTAGCCTCATGTTTAAAAAAGTTTTTATTATATCTTATTTATGTATGTGAGTGTACATATGCATGTACTTACATACACACATGCCATGGCATGGTTGTGGAGGTCAGAGAACTTGCAGAAGTCAGTTCTCTCCCTCTACCATGTGGGACCCAGGGATAGAACTTAGGCAGTCAGGCTAGGTAGTGAGTGCCTTTACCCACTGAGCCATCTGATCAGCCACTCACTTTTTTAAATCAGCATCCAAAGCAACATGTTCCTAATAGCATTTTCACTCATACAGCATCAGCTATATGAATATCTTTCCTTTCTTTTTCCCTTATTCATCTTCCATCCCTTGCTTCCCCTTGTTGGTCTTCTCTCTCCCCCAAGTAGTTACTCTTTAGCTTTCATGTCAGACGTATTCCCACACTTTCCTGCTAAGATCCCTTCTTCCACATTCATGATCCCTTCTCTAGATTTATAACCTTACACACACACACACACACACACACACTTGTGTGTATGTATACAGCTTAACACATGACTGTTCTCTTTATATATTGGTAATAAAATATTACAGTGCTGGCCACCAGATAGGCAGTAGTCTTTAAGTTCTACTGTTGGAGTAGGAAGGGCTGGCAGCAAGTAGCAGGACCTCTGGCTTTCCCCTGGGATCCCATCACCACTACCAACCCGTAGAATCTCAGACATCTATGACCAGGTTTAGGTGTTTGGAAAGTTAAAGTTTTGCTCATCAAGAACCTATCACAACACATTTTGAGGCCCTTGGCACCACAGGACTTTCTCCCACTGCTAAGTGGCCATTACTATCCAAGTTCATTGGGCCCTAGTGGACACATACGAGCCCATCAAAAGAAAAGTCATGATACTAAACAAACCTCATCCTGCAACGGGTCTTCTCCGACTTAAATTCTGAATTCTGAGAGAGTGGCTTAAACCTCAGCATATTTCATAAAAATGGAAATGGCATTTCCTAATAAGAAAAGACCATAGCATCTTGCTGAACATCTGTGACACAGAGAAGTGGTCTTGATCACTGCTTTACCAAAACTGATGGCTCAGTCTGGAATCTTACCTACAAGTCCTCAAACGTAAAACAGGAAGGTTCACTGATAAAAATCATGTGCCATTAAGAGTGGCAGTTCCATTTAGCATAAAAAAGAATGGTTGCTAATCCACCATGTTGGATGTTCCATGCAACACTCTGAACTTCAAGTGGCCCAAGCCTATGCACTATGCATCAGATGCAATGCCTTAATTTTACACTCAGTTTTGTGTCTTGTCTACATATTCTTGGGATAATGTTTTTTGTTTGTTTCTTTTTGAGACAAGGTTTCTCTGTGTATCCCTGGCTGTCCTGGAACTCACTCTGTAGTCCAGGCTAGCCTCGAACTCTCAAACTCAGCCTGCCTCTGCCTCCCAAGTGCTGGAATTAAAGGCGTGTGCCACCACCGCCCGGCTCTCGGGATGATTTAAAGCAAGTATTTCTTTTGGAAATGTTGATGAACATCTCTGTGGAAGTCAGCTAGCTTTATGCCCCAAACAGAATCACAACAGTGAAATTTCCATAAGCTACTAGGCAAAAGTTCTTCCAATTCACAAACAATAAACCATCATTGGCCAGACAGTGGAGGCACATGCCTTTAATCCACCACTCAGGAGGTAGAAGCAGGTAGATCTCTAAGAGTTTGAGTCCAGCCTGGTCCTCAGAGCTAGTTTCAGAACAGCCAGGGCTACACAAAGAAACCCTGCCTCAAAAAAATAAAATCGTTATCCATGAAGTTGTATGGTTCCATGAAGCTGTATAATTCATAGACTTCTGCTGTGGGACTGCGTGAGGGTATCCTGGGTCATGGTTGAGCAGGTGCCTAGACCCCCAAGACTCTGCGTGAGAACCAGCAGGGGTTCAGCGCCCCCCAGAATCCAGGGTCCTGAAAAACAGTCATGTCTTCATAGAATTACATTGTTCAGCCAAATAGGCCAGACTATAGGCCTCAGGCCCTAGGGATTTACATACTAATGAAGGCCAGAGGCCAGAGCAAATTAAGCATACCTCCCCTAATCCTCCCCCTTTCTCCCTCCCTATATAACTCGGGACTGCCGTGAGTTCTGGGGAGTACGCCTAGATCCATCCACCATCTACCATGACAATAAATCTTTCTGGAACCAAGGACTTCCTCCTGTCATTGGGGCCTGCCGCCACCAAAACCTCCAGGTCGCTGGAACCATAGGGTTCCTCCCGAATGTGGGACCCACCATAGCGTGGAAGCCCCTCTGAGCCCCCACCGCTGTGGTGGCCTCTAAATTTTCCCCACATTTTGCCAAGCTTAAGCAAAGCTCTTCTGGGTGTTTCTGATTATTTAAAATTGCAGTCATGCCTCTCCTTTCAATGCTAAGCTGCTATGGCATGCAGGCATCACTTCAGGGAAGAATGTACATGTCTTTTTATTTTCTTCATGAACATTCATATGAAAAGAACTAGTATGTTTTCTCTCATCTTTTTCATCCTTAGTTTGACCTTGAGAGATAAACAACTGCCATGACTCTTGAGGACACCTGAGTCGACATGGATCTGGGCCCCAGCTGCCGTGGTCCACCATGACTATCCTTTTTTCTCCCACTGCTCCTTCATGAAATTGCTGTAAAATAGCATCTTCCATGTTCCTGAGGATTCATAGACCCAGAGAAGGGCAACTCCTAGAGTGATAATGACAGCATATAACTAATGCCCAAGGAATGGAAGTAGACAGGGTTGAAGAAGGGTGCAAAGACATCCATTTTCTACTAAAGATACAGCCTGACCCCACCACAGAAGCCTTCTGTGACTTCTAAGCATATCTCTCCCCACTTTGCCAGCAGTATGAGGTCTGGTTGACACTCCAGTTGAAAATAAACATACAAATCCTAGTGCAACTCAATGTCAATTAAATATAACAATGAAGATTACATGAAGGAGTCTCAAGGTGCAGGGGCTAGACTGAGAAAAGAACTGACTGACAGTGATGAACCCTGTCCATGACTCAGCAGAGAGCTCTCTCAACAGATCCAGTTTAGCTCAATGGAAGAACAACGGCTGAGTGCCTAGAGCAGTGTCCTCTATAATTCTCTGTTCCCTTCCCCCATGCAATAACTACACATCAAATCACCAAATCGTGCAGGCCACGTCTGCACTCACACACCAGCATAGAACTATGCAGCCTGTCTCTATCCTGCCTAAGTTGTGCTGTGATGAAAGGCAAGATCACTACTGCCCCCTCTCTGTTTATGTGCATTTTCTCTGGTATGGTGAGGGAGGAGGGGAGAGTTGGCATGAGAGTAGGAGGAGCATGACTTGAGGAAAGGGGAGTCAGCGAGAGTGAGAGAGGGTTAAGAGAATAATGAGTGTGTGGTTATGACTACAATATGTTCTATTTGTGTATGGAATTGTCAAAAACAAATAAATTGTATCCTATAAAAAAAAAGTTTACCTAATAAACTCTACATGTATATTAGGTGGAACTTGTGTATGTGTGCTCTTGACTCAAGGCAAAAGATAGTTCATGGCATATAGAAGGCACTCAATAAATACTTGTTAAATAAACATGTTACAAGGGGAAAATGATAAATGCATCCTATCATCTGCAGGAGAAGTCAGTGTCTGAAGATCTACATTTGAGTTTTTGAGAGAGAGAGAGGGAGGGGGAGAGAGAGAAGGAGAGGGAGAGGGAGAGAGAAAGAGAGAGAGAGAGAGAGAGAGAGAGAGAGAGAGAGAGAGAGAGAACCTAGGACGAAAGAAAGATGGCTCAGTGGTCAAGAGCCTTCATTTGTTACTTTTTCAGAAGATCAGGATTCAGGCTCATAACTACCCATAACTCCAGTTTCAGGAAATCTGATGTCCCCTTTAACCCCTGAGGGCATCAGGCACACATGAGGCACATATGAGGTGGAGGCAAAACACTCATACACATAAAAAAAATAAAAATAAAAAGAGGAATCATCATTTGCAGCCAGACATGGGGGCACAAGCCTGTAGTATAGCACGCAGGACACTGAGACAGGAAGATCAAGAGATTGTGTGTAGATGGACTACACAACAAGAATACATATCAAAAAATACTAAGCATTTGTCAGCCACACCTGGAAACCTGAGTTTGGTCCCTAGAACCCACATAAAGGTGGAAGGAAGGAGCCAACCCCACATGTTGTCCTGTAATCTCCAAACACAGGCTGTGGGACATGTGCACCCCCAACACGTAGCCACACAATAATAATAAACTTATGAAATTCTTTAGCAAATGACAGAAAGCACAGTAATTTGAAGGAATGGGATGGGATTGTGGGCTGGAAATCTGATGGTTTCTTCTATAACCCTCCCTATATGCACCTCCAGTACATGGCTTCT